TACACATCAAAATCAGTAATTCGGGAGGATTATACTGACATGGCAGCCAGATGCCTGAATTCGATGGCCCCTGCATTAACTGCATTACACTGGGTAACAAGCCTGCCCACTATAGCTCATCACACGCTCTCAGCCTAGCATGACGCAGGACTGTGTGCTTCATGTATGGTACAATCCCTGCCAGGCCCAGCGTGAGATCCAGTGTCTCACATGTGCTCAATATTCTGCACAAAAAGAGGAAGAGACCCGCTCACCCTCCTCTCCTGTGTACGGGGTGCTCCCAGAGGTCACCTGTTGCTGACATCCTCCAGGAAGTCAAAAAGCCCAATTCAAGTTCAGCATTTGTTGTGCTCAGTAGTTTGGCTTTTAGCTATCTGAATGGGTGCATGATGGTATCAAATTTCTGCTTTCAGTGGAAGTTAACAAGTGACATGTGAGGCTGCAGGAATTCTCATGTGCTTATTGAGTATTTTATGAATTTTGGTGACATTTTTGCACAGTTCTTTGCCATTGTGTTCCTGATTTGTTCATTTCTAATCAGGGAGAACTTGCTGTATTCTAGGAACATAGGCTACTTATAAATATCTTCTGTGAAAATATTTTCTCCCACTCTATTTTGTATGTTCTCTCTCTCTCTTGAGAATATATTGCTCAAAGAAAAGTTTGAAATTTGTGAATTCCTAACTGTGAAATCTTTCTTTCATGAAAGCCCCTCACATTTTCCATGAGGTGCAGAGGAGGGGAGACCACAAGTCTGAAGTTCCAGCCATCAGTCAGCAGGAGGGAGAGACTGTCGGGCTCTATGTGCCCAGATGAGGACCCTGAGTCAGGAGCCAGGACTGGAGCAGTGCCTGAAGGCGAACTCTGCTGAGCTGTCAGAATTCATGTTCCCAGGCAGAACTGGTTCATGCAGGCACTTTTGTGGTTCCCTACTGTGGGATCTAGAGAATTAAAGTGTCAACCTCCAGAGCACAAAGAGGAGGAGACCCAGGTCCTGTCAAGAGTTTGCATGACACACTCGAAGATAAATATAAAGGGATCCACCCACTGCAGAACACTGGGAGGCCCACAGGACCTAAATGTCTTAGAACTCTTCCCATCCTCTGATTTGCAAAGACAATTACATCCATGAGTTCTTCCTCTGACAAAGCATCTCCTAACGGAGGTTCTGTCTCTTACTTTTTCTGGTTTTTTTTTTTTTTTTTTTTTTTTTTGTATTTTTTACCATTTTACAGTGTAGATGTGAACTTCAAATTCACATTAATTTTTTATATTTTTTAATTTGTACTACTTTTCAGTACATAAGGATTATGTACATCCTGGGGAGTTGACATATGTATGTAAAATCTGCTCATTCTTTTTACTTCTTTAAGGTTCTCTTTTGTTCCTGTTTAAGTCACTTTTCTCCTTGCTGGGTCACAATACCAGACACACACACAAGTTAAAGGAAGAAAGCTTTCTCTGAGCCCACAGGTCAGTTATGAAGGTTTCAGTCCCTATCCAGTGGGCTTCCAGGCAAGGCAGCCTGGCACAAAAACAGTGCCTGGTGTGCCTAGCAGGAGGACCCAAGAAGTAGCAAGTAGCCTTCTTTTCTCCATTTGCCCACCTAGTTCACAACCCTATTGTGCATTGCCCCAAACCCAGCATAGGCCTTCCCAGTATCCACATCCAGTACCATGCTAAGCCAATCAATGGCCTAATTTAATTTTCACACACATTTAACCCATAGTCATACTCAATCCCTATTCACACACCCCGAAATCAAATCTCTGAAAAGCACCACCTATGAGCTCCAGAGGCTCCAGAGGGACATCTAGAAATAAGCCCTAATAATCTGTTTCCCTACTATTCACTTAAAGCACAACTCCACAGACAAATTTAAAGCAGAAACTGTGTTGGTAGAGATAAGAACAGTTTACTTCAAAAGGTCAATAGGAAACAGAACGTAAACGAAGGAGAAGTTTATACAAATTTAACAAAGAACTGTTATATGATTAGAAATATTAGCTGGCAGAAGATTGATTCTCAAGAGCCTGACAGTGATATATATTTACACACTGACAGGTTTCCCTCTTTTTACAGCTCACATTTTTCTTCTCTTTCAAAAGTATAATTATTGCAGTTTTTCAAAATTATTTCCAATGTAATTTGAATTAAACAGGCACACACACAAACCACAACTGGCTAGAAATATTTACATTTCTGTCTATCCAGAAGACAATAAAGTGAGGAAGAAAGTAAATATGTCCTCAAAGGAATAATATATGATGCAAAAAGACAAAAAAAAAACCAAACAAACAAAAAACCAAAATGGGCGTGATGGTGCAGGCCTGTAATCCCAGCAGTCAGGAGGCTGAGGCAGGAGGATCACTGTGAGTTTGAGACCAACCTGGGCTACAAAGTGAGCTCAAGGCCAGCCTGAACTGCACAGCAAGACTCTGTCTCAAAAAGACAAACGAACAAACAAAAAAAGAAGAATATATGATTTATATTTTTCACTTTCTATTGACCCTACCACTTCCATGTCAATTTGGAACAAAATGTTAGATTTATCACCTCAGCAACTCAGCTTGCTGCCGCTGTTGCAGTTTCTCAAAGCAGTCCTGTAACAGTGATCCCTTCCTTGAAGTTTGAAAGCAGAAGCTGGGCAGCTTTATGCAAAGACAAGGAATCTCCATTCCCCTCCATGGAGAGGAATAAAATGAAGCACTCAAGGGGCTGGGGATTTAGCTCAGCGGCAAAAGCGCCTGCCTGGCAAGCGCAAGGTCATGAGTTCAGTTCCTGGTACCGGAGAAAAACAAAAAAAAAAAAAAATGAAGCACTCAAGATGAAGACCCCTTTGAATGACTGGGCAAACAAGCACTAACAAATATAGGATTCATCCAGAGCCTTTGGGAAGGGGCTGGGGATTTAGCTCAGCGGCACAGTGCCTGCCTGGCAAGCGCAAGGTTGTGATTTCAATTCCTGGTACCGGAAAAAAACAATACAAAAAAAAAAAACCAAACAACAACAGCAAAAAAAAAAAAAAAACAAAAAACAGAGCCTTTGGAAGAGTGGCCTCAGTTTAGTTGGGCAAATATATAAACTTGTAACACAGTGAATGTTAGGACTGGGAATGAGAAATCATAGAGGACCCCAGCCAGAACATCTAGTCCAGTAGTGTCCTGTCCTAGCCGTCTATTGTTATTTTTCTTTGTGAGCCAGGGTCTTGCTATGCAGTTCCGCTTGGTCTTGAGGTCACTTTGTAGCCACGGCTGGCCTGGAACTCACAGAGATCCTCCTGCCTCAGCCTCGCCAGTGCTGGGATTTCAAGCGTGCGCCACCACACCTGGCTGCTGTCTATTCTTCTAAGTCCACAAAAGACTGTGGCCACAGAAAGACCTGACTTCCAGTCCACGTGGTGGCGCACACGTGTAGTCCCAGCACTCGCGAGGCTGAGGCAGGAAGATCGCTGGGAGTTCGAGACCAGCCTGAGTTACAAAGTAACCTCAAGGCCAGCCTGAACTACATAGCAAAACCTGTCTCAAAACTACCAAACAAACAAACAAACAAAAAACAAAAAAAAAAAAAACATAAAAGCAAACAAAAAAAAACCCTGACTTCCAACATGTTATTCTCAGAGAGGCACGAACTCAACATAAAAGGAGAAGGTTCAGAGAAATAAGATGCAGAGTCGCAAGACTCATCATTTCTCTAGTGAGCACCTAAATGTGGACTAAATGTAGCTTTCACTCTGACAAGAACCAAGCAAAGGACAGCTCATAAGTGCCCCGTTCTGTCTGCCGTAGGAAGCCCCGAGCGGAAATCTCAGTCTGCTGACTGCCGAAAAGGACTCATGGTCAACAGGACCAAATCTGCTACGGATAGCATCAGTTTTGCCTAAGAAAGAGACCGAGAATCAAATAAGGATTGAAAAAGGAATCCAGGGCCAGGGATGTAGCTCAGCGGCACAGCGCCCGCCTGGCAAGTGCAAGGTCCTGAGTTCAAATTTCATTACGAGAAAAAAAAAAAAAAAAAAAAAAAAAGGAATGCAGGGATTATGAGAGATGCCTGCTAGCAGAAAGATCCTCACAGCGAAGCCTTCCCACTGTTTCCACGTGGTGGTCTTAGAATACAGAGTACCGGCCTGTGATGGGCACGGTCCTAGTTGACACAAGAAAGGTTTCGGATCAAACTATGTTCAAAGTGCAGACCCTGCCTAATACAGAGCTGACCTGTGCCCAAATATGGAGGCTCGTAAAGTCCCGCCCCTGCTCTGCCTCTTTTGATGTTGGGGTAGAGGGAGCCCGCGGGTATGCATGGCTTTCTTCAGTGACGGAGGGAAATATGGACTTGGATTAGAGGGTTTGTGACTCACCAGTGTGGAAGGAGGAATCCCAGACTCCGCTGCATATCAAGGCGGGGACATAAGGAGTGCTGACTCCAGAACAGTGCGGTCCCTTTAAGGACTTTCCCCTGATGATAGCCCCGGAGACCCTGGACATGAGTGCCCGGATGTGGATCATCTTCACTTCCGTGATCAACCGCTGGTCCGGACTGTGAGCCACGAGGCGTCCGGCATTGTGCACCTCAAGGTAAATTTCTAGGATTTGTCTGGGGTCAAATTAGGGTTCTTACATGTGGATTGAAGAGATTCTTCCTCTTAAGGTCAAAGCGTGTCCAGCGTGGGTTTGGAGTAGTTTGCAAGTAAACCCCGAAACTCGGAGGTAGAGGCGGGAGGATGCCGATTTCGATATCAATCTGAAAAATTAGCGATTTTGTGAGAGACTGTTTCAGAATCCAAAAGAAAGGCTGTGGATGAAGCTCCGTGCCAAGACCCTTTGTTCGGATCCACTAAGTGGACAAAGAAACGGCGGGAGTGCGCGCTCTCGCTCACGTGGGGTGGGGGTGGGGTGGAGCGGGTGAGTCGGCGGCGCGAGCAGCCTCTCTTGCACAGGTAGTTTTATGGGATGGGGATTTTCCTAGAAAGACCCAGAAAGAGGTCCTTGCTTTTAGGAAGCAGCTGTGACTCAGCCTGTAAGAATGACCTGGGCCGTATCTTTTTTTTTCTTTTTTCTTCCTATTAGCTTTTTTTTTTTCACCAACGTGGGAACTGAATCCAGGGGGCTGTCCTGGATTCCGTTCTCAGAACACTTATTTTGTATTTTAACACAGAGTCTCACTGGTTCTCTACATTGGCATGAATAGAAATTGCATTTGCCAAAAGGAATTCAGGCCTATACCTGAGCCCCACGTCCTTTGTTAGCAGTTGGAGGGTCATGGTAGAGACTGAGATGCCTTCTCCTTAATGCCCAGTTGTTCTCAGGAAGAGGATGTTCTTGTCCTAGTAATCTAGGCCTCATTAAACTTGGGTACCCAGCACATGGGAAGAGGAACAGTGTGACACTTAATGATGAGAAAAACTGCACCAGAAAAAGGAGAGAATATGTGAGTCTTGGACATGATGGCACATTGAGGCAACCACTATTAACAGGACACTCTCAGTCCTAGAAAGCACCGTTAGGGGCTGTCAGGTTGGCATGTTCTTTCTCTGTCTCCCCTTGCTTCCCGCCCTGTGTGTGCACTTGTTTTATTTTGTTATTTGCAGGCTTAAGGATTTAAACCAGATCCTAGGCCACTTTTTTTTTTTTTTTTTTGAGACAGGGTGTCCCTAAATTTCAGAATGATTCTGTAGTTCTAGAACTTGCAGTCCTTCTGTGTCAATCTCTTCACTTTGGGTTCTGAAAGGAGGTAGCATTTTAGGCTAACAGTGTAACCACCAGGAACAGAATTGGTGCCAAGCCTTATATGGAGCCAAATTATAGGACTTCCCGAGGACTGAGTGCAAGACAGAATGAACACACTGAATTTTCCCTACTGTTGTTTGGCAGGGCAGTAGATTGAAGATTTCTTTAAGTTTCTTTTGTAGGTACTTAGCGATTTTGAATTGTCAGTTTCAGAGTTGCAATACGAAGTGGCTCAGGTACTGCAGGAGTGGCTGTGATTATCTGAAAAACAGATGATATCAAATAACAGAAGGCAGGAGATCTCACTGCCAGGAGGCCAACATTGCTGTCATCTCAGTTAGATCAAGGTGGGAATAAAAGGGTGCAGACTAAGAAGCACCCTATGTGTTTATAAGATCGTCTGAGATTCTTACAGGACAGAATGCCCAAGGGAACAGATACCTGTGCATTCCTACAACAGTGCCCTCACGGAATCCAGTAGAGAAGCCATGTTTAAAATCACAATCGTATTTTCCTTTTGCAGATTCTCATCGTGTCTCATTGTCCCCACTCCAGGTAACCCAATCTCCTGGCATCACACCCACATTCCTGCTGCTGTTTCTGACCATAGCTGCTGTGCTCGGTGGATAAAAGGGTAAGCTCTGCACTCAGGAGAAACCCCTCAGGGCCCAAGAGGAGACCCTAGTTCTCAAAGATGCTCGCACCGCTTCCTTCCAAGTTTTCCAGCGCTGTAGTGATGTGGCCTAAACCAGCACTCACGGTGAACCTTGCCATCTCATCTCTTGCTTTACATTCCCTCTGCCTACCCCAGTCCCACGTGAGCATACATAGGCCCACCCTGTCCTGTCCACACATCTAGTCTCTATTTTCAGCACAGGTGTGGCTCCGCTGTCTTTAACTCACAGTCCTCCTGAATCTTCTCACAAGCTGCTTCTTCTGGATGACCCCATCCATGGCTGTCTGCCCTTTCTTGCCCTGTTTCAAACTCTCCTGAGGGATAGTGATCTCTGCATCTCCTGCTACCTAGTACCTTTCTTGAGTGTGAAACCTTGGGGGAGTTTCTGGTTTTTATTAACTGTGTTTTTCTTCTTTTGGGAATCTTAGTTCATACCCACGTGTGCATTTCTTCAACATGTGCAAGCAGCCTACCTTGCTCTACTTTCATCTGTTGTCTTTTCCCACATGTCATACTATCCTCCTCGGTCATGTTCACCCACTTTTCTGCATTTCATCCAAATCAGCTAGCGTTTTGTAGCTTCTTTCCCTTTAATATGATACACTTGAGATGTTCTGATATGAGTTCTTGCTTCAAAGAACAGAGGAAAATAATTTGTGTCTGTATTTGCAGTGCCACTTGCAGTCACCCTATGTTCACATTAAATGATTTGTTCTCAAGGCCTGGCATGTGTGAGCTCGTCTGATGAGCAGGTTTTCAGGTAATGGGAACAATCTGGCCAAACCTATTGGAGCAGGGAATAGTCTGATAGAGGAGGCGCTGGAGTATACTTCTATTTCTCCTCTCTCAGTTTTGGGACTATTTTATGAAAAATTTTATTTCAACATTTGTTTTTTAACATTTTTCTGGTTGTAGAGATTGAATCTCAGAAGTTACCTCACCTTACCTTTTAAATTAAAAAAATTTACATAGGTTCTGGCTAAGTTGGCCAGGCCAGCCTTGAAGTTACTTGCTTAGCCTCCAGAGTTCCTCACACCTTCTAAAATATTTGTGTAGTAATCTCCATTTGTGGTGAATCCTTTCAGGGTTTATGTATTTAAGAACTTCACATCACCCTTGTATTTGGAGATATATTCACTGGATTCTGAATTCAATATCAAACTTCCATCTCATTCAGTAATTTATGGTTATTAATATGATATTTTATCTTGTATTGCTTTTTGATGAAGAAACTACTGTCATTTTTAACTTTGTTCCTCTTAAGTGTCTTTTGTCTACATTTTCTGCAGATTTTTTTATAGACACTGAGCAATTCGATTACAAGGTATCTTGGACTTTTCCTTACTTTTTTTGTGCTTTAGATCACTTTTAGCATCTTGGAGGTATGAGTTTATATTTATCATTCAGAGCCTGGCCTGGTGGTACATGCGTGTAATCCCAGTACTTGGGAGGCTGAGGCAGGAGTATCCTTGCCTGTTCGAGGCCAGCCTGGGCTATAAAGTGAGCTCAAGGCTAACCTCTCGCTGAACTGCACAGCGAGACCCTGTCTCAAAAAACGACAAAAAATTAAATAAAAAAAATATAATATATTATTCATTCAATTTAAGGTAAAAATGATTTTTCCCCTTATCTCAGTGATCACTGTCATGCTTTCATGTATCCTTAATGTCTTGTATCCTTAATGTCTTAAACTCTTTCTTTTGTGTATTTGACCTATTTTTATTACTGCTGTACTTTCTGGTGAGACACAAGACTTGGTCTCGCTTATTGCATCTGGACTGGAAGAAGTTCTTATATTGTTTTTTTTTTTTTTTTTTGGTTTTTCTCCGGTACCGGGAACCGAACTCACGACCTTGCGCTTGCCAGGCAGGCGCTTTTGCCGCTGAGCTAAATCCCCAGCCCCCGAAGTTCTTATAGAGCAAGACTTTCAGATAAAGTATATTATTGATCTTTATAACTTTGTAAAGTTTAGTTTATGTTTTGGTTATAGAATAGAAAGAAAGTACATAGCAATATTGTAAAGATTGGGGGCTGGGGATTTAGCTCAGCGGCAAAGCGCCTGCCTGGCAAGCGAAAGGTCGTGAGTTCAGTTCCCGGTACCGGAGAAAAACCAAAAAAAAAAAAAAAAAAATATTGTAAAGATTAATCCATTCGTGAAAAGTATCATTCGGAAGCTCATTTTTGTTCCTATGCCAGTGGTTCAGGCCCTTGTCTTATCTCCTACAGTCCTTTCCTATTTTCATATTTTCAGAATGTCTCTATTTCATCCATATAACAGGTGGCAAACAGTAGGAAGGCTAACCTCACTAAACTGGAGACTGGATATGAAACTGTCATTAACTTAGCAACTTAAGGCTCCTTGGGTGTGGATATAGAAGAACTTGCCAAATCTAAGCTCAGTGGCTCCACATAATTATTTCCTACCAATGAAGTCACCTACCGGTACACTCCTCAGTCTTTCAAATGTTTGTCATCTTTTAGAGGTAGAAGGAAGGAAATAATTAGGTCTAGTGTTCTTCGAATCCTGCACTCTTTTTATTTTATTCTGTGGAACCGATGGTCAAGCCCTTAAGATAATAGTAAAATAATGTAAGATGTATTGTCTCACATCAGGTTCCTACCAAACCTTTTTGTTCAGTGATGTCATACAAATGATATATACAGTGTCATACAAATGATATATACACTGTCATACAAATGATACAGTGATATATACAAATATATATATATATATATAGGGTTTTTTCCGGTACCAGGAATCGAACTCAAGACCTTGTGCTTGCCAGGCAGGCACTGTGCCACTGAGCTAAACCCCCAGCCCCCCATACAAATATACTGTGCCAAACAAGATTTAATAATATAAAATACACTTCAAATGATGTCTTCTTACATCTTAGTGGTGTATGCCCTTTGCTTTTCTAATATTTCTGACAAGATTACCAAGTTATTCAAATATGGAGCATGTAATGGAATTTATGTATTTTTTCTAGAAAAATTTTGATGTTCTTCTTAAGTAGTTGTTAAAACTTGTTAACCAAATGGCACACCTCATAATGTGAAATGAAAAGAAATATATGTTATATAATTCTTTCTTCTAAGTAATTTCTTTTTTTTTTTCTGTTAGAGACAGTCTCGCTATGCAGTTCAGCCTGGCCTTGAGCTCACTGTGCAGCCCAGGCTGGTCTTGAACTCACAACCATCCTCCTGCATTAGCACTGGCCCCTTTCCCCAGTGCTGGGACTACAGGCATGCACCACCATGTCCAGCTTCTAAGTACTTTCCAAATGAGTACTGTCCATTCCAGAAATGTATATTCAGTACACATGTGTAAACTTTCTTTGAGTTTAGAAACTAAGCATTTGGTAAAAAAGATTAAACATTAATTTAACTACTGTCTTTAACTGAGAGTCCTTCATATATACAAAATAATGTTCTAGATCTTAGAGTACCCAATATTGAGATCACAAGTGATGGGCTTATTAAAAACTTGAAGTATACCTGGTTTGACCCTAAATATACTGTAAGGCTAAAAAGTATATTTCTTGTTTCAGAATTTTCATTAAAAAGTTAGATGTCTAAAATATGTCCTAAATAAGAAAAGTCGTAAAATCATTCATGTTTCTCTCTTTATAATGTCGTTACTAGATAGTTTAAGATTGTAAGTGTAGTTCACAGGATACGTTCCTTAGAAGTTTCTGGCCTAGAAATAGTTTATCTCTCAAAATGTAGGCTAATTTCTCTCAACTAACAGTAAGACACTAAGGTTTTTAGTGTCATATATAATTACCCCTACATATCTGGCACTACTAAACAATAAATAACAAACTACTAGCAGATGGGCGGGTCAGAGATTTGAGTGAGAGCAAGGGGAACCATGAACTGTAAGACAGGGGTCCCCATACATATTTGCACTTCTCTGGGCCCCAGAAATACCAAGAAAATCTGTCAGTCTCTGTTGCCTCTTTTCACTCAAGTCGCAGGATGGTTGCACAAACTGTCTGCTCCAGATATGCAGACAGATGTCTCAGATCCTTGAACAGTCTCTGTGATGTCCTTAAAATGGACCAGTGGAACTACTCCCCCTTCAAAAAGGGAGAAAGGATAGAGAGCTGCCCAGGTCTTGTACCCCT